TAAAGAAAAAGAACTGTCACTTTTGCCTTGCAAGTTGCAACTATACATTCTCAAGTTTATTTGCCTTAAAAAAAAAAAAAAAAGGTTGAATATTTGCCTCATTACAATTTTATCTACATTTATTTTAGTTCATTTTGTTACCTTCCTATATATATATATAATGCATTGATAATTTAATAGGTTAAGTCGGTATACCCAACTCTTCTTCCCCCTTATTAAACGGTATAAAAAAACAAAAAAAATAAAAAATACTACTACTATATATTACGGTTTTGCACAGCCATTATCATCATGAGACTTATTTAAGAGAGATTGCAATTAATTAGGACGGTCTGTAATTAGTAGTTTTAGTGGTCACATCATAGCACTGTCAAACGGGCCAGTGGCCCGCGGGCTGGCCCACCCGCCCGCTTAAACGGACGGACTGGGGCCTTTGCTTGGCCAGCCCGTTCAATCGCGGGCCTATTTGGCCCGCCCCGTTTGGCCCGCGGGCTGGGGCGGGCTGGCCCTTTTTTTTTTTAATTTAGAATTTTTTTATTTTACTTCTAATTTCTAACTTGCACATGAAACACTTTTTTTACATAATAAAAATATTTATAAATCAAATAATATTTTATGTCAATTAAGTCGTTCCTGCGCGTGAATACCCTATAACTATTGATAAAAAAGAATAAAAATAAAAACTAGATGACAAATATTTAACATCATTACACATGAAACCTTACTAGTTTATTAATATACTATAAGGATAAACAAACCAAAAAATATATAAGAGTGCAAATACCATAAAAAAATAAACAAAACCCGCGGGCGGGCCAATTTGGCCCGCGGGCTAATGCGGGCGGGCCACGGGCTATGTATTTTCCAGCCCATAGAAATGCGGGCCTTTTTGACCTGCCTCGTTTGGACCGCGGGCCAGCGCAGGCCGGAGCGGACCGGCCCGTTTGACAGTGCTAGTCACATGCTTACATTTATTTATTATGATGATTTAATGCAATAGATTATCTTTGTCAATTGCTACAACATTATCACCGGCGGGCGAACCCGTTTTGAGGATGGCAAAAAACATAAATTTTTATTTTGTTTATTTAACATTGAAAATTGTTTCCATATAGATGAACTAGATTGGACCCGGCTGTGAGTCCAGGCTATAATAATATCTAATATTTGTAAAAATTTTAAAACACACTTAGCCACATTTTATGGAGCAACCAAAATGCCACATATTTTTTTGTTTGTTCAAAATGTTTTTCACAAATATTTTTTTTTCAACAATTTTTTTACCACTCTTTTGACTAATTTGTCTGTAACATTCAAACAAATTTCTCAAAATAATTTATACTCACGCACAGCCGGCCCTAATTCAGTCTATAATTATAACTAATATTTAGAACAATTTTAAAATACATACCCACTATTTATTGCATTTATAAATCTAGCTTCGATAACTTGACAACAATGCATAAGGAATTTCACGGAGTTGCAGGCCCCCGACAAGGACGGGCTTCACGGCCTTGTTGAGGAATTGGATGGCAGCCTCGACTGCAGCCTCCAGGCCCAATGATTGCTCAGTCTAGAAATATACGAAGGTGACCATCAAAATCAGCCTAATTAATGAATAAGATTCTGAAATTTGAAAAAAAAAAATCAAAATCAGCATAATAAAGTAAGATTCCAAATTTTTGAATAATTCACAAAAAATTGATCTGAAACAGAGGAGGATGAGACTGTAGCTTACTTTGGGGAGAGCGAAAACGGAACAGGCTCGCGACTAAACGTTGGGTGAGGGATGGCCGGCAAGTTACAGCTCACGCTAATGTACACCGGCTTGCTCTCCTTTAACGCCGTCAAAATCGCCGTGTCAATCAGCTCGTGCGCATCCTCCAGATTATTCACCATCGCCTAAAATCAACAAAGAAACAGATGCGAAATTTAATTTTTGTACTATTTCTTAAGCCAAAATAAGCGAAAAATAAGTGTGTAATCTAGCGCGAATTGCTGTAAATTATTCACCAGTACATTCTTACACGGCTCGGCTTTTGCTCACGTGAATGGGTCTGATACACGGCTCCAGATAATTTACCTTTCTTATCCTGAATATTAGCCTTGACATTGTCGATTGTATCACTCGATTCAACCACGAGTGTCATCTAACCCTAAAAAGAAAACAAAAGAACGATAGACGAAAGTTTCTTATTTCACGGCTTAAATTTGAATTTTTTCAAACATAAAAAGAAATATTTAATCATGACCATCCCCCCAGTCCAAGAAGATGCAAATCGAAAATGAAAAAAAAAAAAAAAAGTCATACGGAGATACATATCCTCACCGCGTGCAGTTTCCAAAACGACGTCGTACACATTGGTCGTGGCTCCTCGCTCAGTCATCGTCGGCCGGATGTTCGTCAGAGAGGTGACAGTTGCTAATCCACTGCAGCCTCCTCTTAATCCCGCTGAACTTCACAGCGAGCCTCTTCATCTGCACTGCCAAGATTTGGTAAATCACTTGTCGAAGGCGGCGGAGGTGGGCGGGCATGGGAGTGGTTGTTCCTTCACTGTTCAATACAATCAACACTGCAAATTGATTGTTTTTTTGTGTGCATAGAAATAAAAATTATATATAGTGAAACAGCTTGTAGAATAGTGTGGAGTATTGAAAATAACTAAAAACCTTGCTCTCATATGTTCAAAGCCATTATTGAAGAGCAGCTGGCTTGGCTAGTAAAACCATTACGATCACTCCTTTAGACTTCATCTGTATAAGCAGTTTGAAAGTACACAATGTGCTAAAAAAATCATGTCACTCCTTTAGACTTCATCTGTACAAGTAATTTTCAAGTACACAATTTACTAAAAAAATCTCAGGAAAAGAAAGAACAAAACAAAAGCTGAAACATTTCTATCAATTTTAATGAAAAAAGTAAAAATTAATTGCAAAAGACAATAACCATTGATTTATCACCATCTTACTTAGATTGTATTGTAGCACATGATGAAAAAACACACTGGTAGAGTTCTAAGTATCAATTAGATCAATTAGAGTGGTTTTCCCAATCTACAAACTTTTGGACTGATATAAACCAAAAAAAATAATAAATAAGCACAAAAAATAATTCAAACAACACAGAACAAGAGCTACTTACTACAGATTTTTAGCACCCCGCTTGTGCAGCTTGAGAGCCGTGACGTTGAAATTTAAATAAAGATGGGAAAATATCAACATGATGTGGCTTAAAAAACTACATGTTGAATCTTAAAAGAAGAGGAAACAAACATCAATATAAACAATCGCCTGAGTAAACAATAAAAATAATAAAGTATAATAAAAAAAACATTATGAGGCCAAAGTTGTGTGCAAGGCAACTGAGTCAAACAACAAACAACAATCCATAACTGTAACTATGCTCACAACACCAAGAAAAAACCACTCACTCATCAAAAAGGACAGACTCAAATTGTGAAAAGGAGATGCCAACTAAATTTTATACATTTCCTTCCCCAAAAACCATTTACTCAAACAACCAAAAGGGGTGATGTACTTAATACATCAAACTACAAAACTGGCATATTGGTTGATAAGCCTAGTTCAGTTTTACAATATTGCTAGCATTTTTATTCTTTTTTTTTTTTATGAAGAGTGAAGAGTGATTTCAGTTTAAAAACATGATCAATTGTCACTTGGCTTTTCTATGACTTATGAGAAATAAGTAAACCAGGACCGCGCCCACGGCAGAAAGAACAAAACAAAGAGGAATATGCACTTATAACGCCACTCACTTGTTAGTGTTAATAAATACTAATCAAACAACCAACTAACTAAAGAAAAGAGTGGATCATTCTTCATAAAATAAAGCAGCAGTAATGGAGGCTCCAACAAGCACCTCAACTGCCGTTTCTATTGCCGGAATGGTAGCGAAGTCGTTCTTGTTACTCTCAAAATCCTACGGGCCTTTTGTACTCCTTGTACTGGCGCCCAATTGGTCGCGATAAAAATAAATGAGATATTAGATCATACCGAATTAATTTCAAACACAATCGATTAACAAATAAGAACAAAAAAATAAGAAATTCAATAACTTTTTTTTTTCAAAAAACTGTCGGCCGATCCTTTTTCTTATCAAAAAAATCAAGTCAATGAATTTTTCATTGCGATTAGTCAATCTTCAGCAGATAATAAAATGATAGGAAACTTAAATTAATTAATCAAGTCATGTATATTATTATATTTATTAATAGATTTTTTAGGGGGAGCATTTTTAGGTGGTACCTGAGGCGAGGTTGGGGAGCACGCTCCGGCAGGCCAAAGGCGTCATGCAGCAAGCCGTATGAGGCCTAGCAGAGTTTCCTGATTTACTGACGAGCAACATGATGTCCCTGGCTCATACGCCCAACAGACCTTCGAACTCCACGACCTAACCAACGTATAATACAATCATCTACTCGGGTTTGCTTTTTCGGGCTATTAAAATATACACAAATATCATTAAAAATGCAAAAAATAAAATTAAAAACCCCTGTGCAATTTTTTCGGATCGAGGTAAGGAAAAAAAATTAGTGTAGAACAAAAAATAAACCAAGGAATCATGATTACCTGTCTGATTCGTAATGTTTCTTCTCCAGCAGCTGAGGTGCGGCGGCGTCGAGGAAGGATGCCGGAGGTGGCGGCTGCTGCAATTCTTGTTGGCGTCAGAGTGATGGTAATCGTGGTGGCCGGGATTTCTTAAGCCACTCCTACCTGGTTTGCGCTCCAGACGGCGGGAGGTGGAGGGGTTGAATCCTTCGCAAAATTTAAGAAATACAAAGCCCTTCATATCCACATCATGCATGCTAAAGCTAGTAACCTAAAAGACGATTTGCTTGGATATTTCAAAACCACCTTTTAGCCGGTCGATCGAGCAAAACCACAAGGTTAAGAAATTAATACAAGCAAATGTCGACATGAAAGAAAAAAAGAAAATAAAAGAAAAAGTAAAAAAACAAACACACAAGACACACATTTGATCAGAAACTATTTAATTGAGTGAGCATCGAAAGGAGCTCGTCGCTAGAGGGTCGATCAGCAGGTAAATCCGAAAGGCAAACAACATCAATTCTTAAAGCCATTAGCATCTCATCTTGTTCGACTTGTTTCCCATCGAGGATTCTCTTGTCTAGTGCTTCTCGAGCTTCACCTTCTTGCTGTATTTGCCTAAGCCATTCTCCCATGCTACCAAAGGATGTGTCGTTCGGGTCCCTTCCGGTTAATAGAACACCCAATATCATCCCAAAGCTATAGATGTCCGCTTTTATCAGAGTACCTAAGGAATAATCACACAATTACGTAAATAAAGAGTATACACCAGTTCCAAAAATCGACAAATTGGGTTTGCTTGCAAAATGATCCCTTACGTTTATTTGAAAGTTTTCGCATTAGTATAGTTCAAGCAACTCAATAATTTGTCTTAAAGAACTGCCAAAACAAATAAAATCTATTTGGTAGCCAGCTGCTAATCTATACCCATGAAAATATATGCACAAGTGGAAGAAGCTAACAAATAGTAATAGACAATTGATACTTCAATTTCAAACCACACATTAATAAATAAGCTACCTATCATTCATCATCATACCTGGAGTTCTGAAAACATTCCGGTGGATTGAAGCCCGACGATGATGCTCGAACAAAGCCTGGAAAGATCGTAGCTAATCCACAGTCAGCCAATATCGGCTCAAACTCAGAGTCCAATATCACATTCGAGGGCTTCAAGTTACAGTGTAATCTTCTTGGATCACAGGAAAAGTGCAGATAATTCAGCCCTTTATTAATCCCAACCGCTATCCTTAGACGAAATTCCCACTTAAGCTCCAACTGATTTTCCCTCACTCTTTTCATCACATCCTCAAGACTTCCCATCGGGCACATAAACGTAAACCAATGAGTAAACTCCCGATTCAAACACATAAGCCCTCAAACTCATCAAATTCCTCTGCCTCAGGCATGCCAGTTTACTGAGCTCTTGCAGTATCTTTTTCTTGCTGTGGGCTTCAGAAGACACGCAGGAAAATGGGCCGAGTCTCTTGACAGCAACATTGAGGCCATTTTCGAGCACGGTCTTATAATAGTTTCCGCTCGGACTCGACCCGAGCAATTGGGGGTCTTTACAGAGGGCTAAATTGAGCGTCCTTCGAGAAATGCTTGGAAAAAAAATGACGGGGCCCACTTTGAGAACTGGGTTTCGATTAATGTGTCTAACAAAGTACCTCAGGAGCAAAGCAAACAAGAGGGCACAAGGCAAAACTGGAAGCTCATGATAATGCATTAAATAACTATAATTACACTCAATAGATGAATCCATAATCAAAATTGATAATCATACAGATAAACCCAAATCCATCAAAGTGATAATTAATGCAAAAAAAAAAATATAAAAATTTGTCAAAACTAAAAATTTCACAAATTGAAGGGACATGTCAGGAGAAAAACCGAGCCCTAATCGAAATTAGTGGAATTCGAAACTCCCAATTCGGAGGCTAAAACCCTAATCAAATTAGGGATAAAGATGTCACCACACGGCGACGATAAATGGGCGAGGCGAGGGAGAGAACAGTCGGAATGCAAGCGAAATC